TGATGATGATGATGATGATGATGATGATGATGATGATGATGATGATGATGATGATGATGATGATGATGATGATGATGATGATGATGATGATGATGATGATGATGATGATGATGATGATGATGATGATGATGATGATGATGATGATGATGATGATGATGATGATGATGATGATGATGATGCGTAGCAGGATGATAATAAAGATAAGGATGATCAGGATGAGGATAAGGATGAGGATGAACATGAGGTGGAGGAGGATGAGGAGGAAGAGTAGGAGGAGGAAGGATAGAACAAATCTGCAGACGGGATCGGAGTTTGTCTCTCCGCCGTCCTCCCCTTCGGGGCGAGGCTCCTACGTGATCGAGACGGCGGTGCTGGAGGTCGAGGATGCCGGCAAGACGACCAACGTCACGCTGTTCCAGAGGCGGGCCTCTTCCATTCCGCCACCCGCGCGCGCCCAACCCTCGCGGCTCCCCGATTTGGTGGTTGAAGATGGTGAAGCGTCGTCGTCGTCGTCGGCGGCGGCGGCGGCGGCGGCGGCAGCGTCGGCGTCGGCGTCGGCGTCGGCGTCGGCGTGGGCGTGGGCGTCGTCGTCGTCGTCGTCGTCGTCGTCGTCGTCGTCGTCGTCGTCGGGCTGGGGATGGGCTCCACGGGCGGGGCCCGGGGGCTTGGGTGGAGCGGATTTGGAAGGTCCCGCGGGGGAGGTATCCGTTGAGCTAATTACCCGTATGTGTTTACCCTCAGAGGAGAGAAAGTAGGGGAACAAAAAGTGACAAGCATAAGAAATCGGAGATCCGCGCGGGTTTCTCGGATCGGTGCTGGGGCCCCCCCGCTGGTGTTCGGTTCCCTCAACCGCAGAACCCGTTCACTCTCTGAACCCCCCCCCGGCGTTTCAGAGATCCGGCCCACAGGGGTAAGGTTCACATGTGGCTGCTTGAATTTGAGGTGCACGTGATGCGACGTGGATGATGTAGCGAAGATCCTCCATCCCCCCCGCCCGCAGACTCCCGACGTCGTTTTTTTTTTTTTTTTTTTTTTTCGCATTGTGGATCCCTGGAGGTCCCAGCCCCTCCCCCGGGAGCAGTTTTTTATCCCGAGCTGTTCTTTGATGGCCCTGGGACTCAGCCATGCCCCCCCACAAGAGACCGGCAAGTGACCAAAGGACCCTCGGTCGCGATTCTTTCCGAACGCGGGGGGCCGGGTTCCTCAGGCAGCCCCAGGACAAGAGATATCTCAGAGCATTGTGGAGCGCTCTGGATCGGTGCGGCGCCCGATACATCCCCCAAGGCCTCCGCCTCTCAAAGATTTCCGATGTATCTCGCTCTGGTCTTCTCTGTTGCAACTCCTGGGAGCTTGAATTCAGCATCCGCGCTGGTATACCTGTGGTCGAACACCGTCCTGATCCTGCTCAGTCCCAGTCAGTCTGGCATAAATCCCGCTTGATCCTGTCTGCTTACCCTGGGTCCGTTCGGGTCCGATTTGGCTGCATGGCCTCTTGATTGGGTGAAGTATAGCCCTTCCTGGTTCTCACGGAGACTCACAGGAGATGCCTTCCATAAGCCATCTCGCTCCGATCTTATGGCCCCCGGGCGGTGTGGTGACCACACCGTGTGGTGAGTTCGTGGGGTTTCCAGGTGACCGCATGGTTTTGGGACTCGGGTCGTTCTCCGAGGATGTCTCGGGCCACTGGTGCCTCCAAGGCCCCCCAACACCGTGCGGTGACGGACCGCGCGCGGTGAGGTCTGTGGGCACTCCGGGGTCACCGCACGGTCTGCCCCCGCACCGTCTTGGGCCGCTCGGGTTTTCTCGCTCGGGTTTCCTCTGGCGTCTCCGTCCCGCTCTCTCTCTCCCCCTCTTGGGCTCGCCTCCCTCCCGCGCTCGTCGTGCGGCCCTCCCTCCCCTCCTTCGTGCGTCCTCTCTGCCCCCCCTGCAGCGCCACCGATGCTGGGCGGCGAGCCTGGGGGGGGAAGTGAGAAGGGGCGGGCCTTCGCAGAGGGCTCGGAGGTCCCCCAGACTTCGTAGAAGTTTTCTAAGCTTTCCCCGAAGACGCAGAAAGCCTTTCAGAAGGCCAGAGGTTTTCTGAGAAGTCCAGCCGCCTTTGGAAAGGCCTTCTCCTTCTCATTTCCCCCCCCCCCCCTTGCTCGCCGCCGATATACATGCATGCAGCTTGCCTGGCGGGTGCCGCCGTCAAATACGGCTCCACTGCCCACATGTTATGCGCGTGCCCATGGGCCCATGTTCTGCCGCAGCCCACGGCGTGCCCCGACCTGAATTTGTCCTCGCCCTGCCGAAACCGAGGTGGCCCGTCCGCGAGGGGCGCCCGGTGGTCGACAAGCTGCCAGGCAAGGAGGCGGGTGCGCGCCCCGCCGCTGCGGCTTTCCGCGCCTCCTCCCCCCCCTCTCGCTCCTCCCCCGAGCCGCTGGAGGGGCCAGCTGGACGGAGGATGAGAAGGACTGCCCTCTGGCGTGGTTGGGGCGCGCCTCTCTATTCCACCGGCGGGGGCGCCCTGGGCATTGTGAGGAGGACGCCGGCGGGGGCGCCCCGGGCTGGCTGGCGGGTGGGGCGTGGGGGAGAGCCACCACGTGCACAAAGGGGCGGGCGGGCGTGCGCGCGCTTCGAATCGACCTCTCTTGTGCTTGCATGAGGAGGGCTGCCCTCTGGTGGGCCGGGCTTGTGCCTGCATGAGGAGGACTGCCCTCTGATGGGCTGGGCTGGTGGGTACTCAGTGGAGGAGATGGGGATCTGTGGGGGTCTCTTGTCCGCCATTCCACCGCGCCCCCTTTCAGTGCCTGTCCGACCGCACCGCGCCCGAGGAACGCCGCCTTGCTCGCCCGCACGCGCACGTGCGGGCCCTCTCTCTCTTCAGGCGACATGTGCGCCTTGTGGCACGCCTAAGAAAGAGGACTGTATTCTCTACTGTCTTGGCCTCTTCACAAGCGCCAGCCCGTCCACGCGAGGAGGGCCCTCGCCAGTCCAATGACATGCGCCTCTGACCCCAGAGGCGCGGGAGGCACCGTGGCCTCGACTTCCAGGCACCGCTGTTCACCAGCACTCGGCCTGGTCAAAAGGGCGCCCAGCTATTCGCTGGCGGAGCAACCCGGGCCGCGCAACTCTGATTCGGCCCCAAGTGCGAGCCGACAACAAGTCCTCGGTTGAGTCCCTCGAAACAGTAGTGCACGCGTATGATACGTACACTGCGCTCAGGGTTCTCCCCGCTCCTGCCCACCCCATCCTCACCGACCCACAGGCGGAAGGTCAGGTACGGGCTGTGCGCTTCCAGTCGCGGCCGCCGCGTGCTGGCGCCTGAGGAGCTGACACGTCCGCTCTTGGTTGGCTATGCTCGAGGAAGGGGAAGAAATGCTGCCTGGGGTCTGACGGTGGCGGGCGGGGGGATGTAGTCAAGCGCCGGTATAATGATCAGTGTTGTATCGGCATCACCCCAGTGCCTTGAATTGCAGGCACGCAGGGGGAGGAAGCGGATGAGGGGAAGCAGGAGGAGGAGGAGGGGGAGGAGGAGGAGGAGGAGGAGGAGGAGGAGGAGGATGATGATGATGATGATGATGATGATGAGGAGAGGAGGAGGAGGAGAAAAATGATGATGATGATGCTGATGATGATGATGATGATGATGATGATGATGATGATGATGATGATGATGATGATGATGATGATGATGATGATTGATGATGATGATGATGATGATGATGATGATGATGATGATGATGAGAAGGAGGAGGAGGAGGAGGAGAAGGAGGAGGAGGAGGAGGAGGAGGAGGAGGAGGGGGAGGAGGAGGGGGGAGGAGGAGGAGGAGGAGGAGGAGGAGGAGGAGGAGGAGGAGGGGAGGAGGAGGAGGGGGAGGGGAGGGGGAGGGGGGAGGGGGAGGAGGAGGAGGAGGAGGAGGAGGAGGAGGAGGAGGAGGAGGAGGAGGAGGAGGAGGAGGAGGAGGAGGAGGAGGAGGAGGAGGAGGAGGAGGAGGAGGAGGAGGAGGAGGAGGAGGAGGAGGAGGAGGAGGAGGAGGAGGAGGAGGAGGAGGAGGAGGAGGAGGAGGAGGAGGAGGAGGAGGAGGAGGAGGGGGAGGGGGAGGGGGAGGGGGGAGGAGGAGGAGGAGGAGGAGGAGGAGGAGGAGGAGGAGGAGGAGGAGGAGGAGGAGGAGGAGGAGGAGGAGGAGGAGGAGGAGGAGGAGGAGGAGGAGGAGGAGGAGGAGGAGGAGGAGGAGGAGGAGGAGGAGGAGGAGGAGGAGTAAGAGCATGAGCAGGAGCAGGTGGACGAGGACGAGGAGGAGGAGGAGAAGGAGATGGGTAATGAGGATACTTATAATCATGACGATGACGATGACGATGACGATGATGCTGATGCTGTTGATGATGCTGCTGCTGATGAGGATGATGATGAAGATGCTGATTCTGAGGACGATGATGACGATGATGATGACGATGCTGCTGCTGATGATGATAATGCTGATGATGAGGATGCTGATGATATTGATGATGCTGATGATGTTGATGATGCTGATGATGATGATGAGGATGATGCTGATGATGATGCTGGCGCTGATGCTGCTGATGATCACGATGATGATGCTGCTGCTGATGATGCTGATGACAATCATGATGATCACGATGGAGATGGTGCTGATGATTCTGCTGATGACGACGATGCTGATTCTGATGCTGGTACTGTTGCTGATCATGATGAGGATTATGAGGATGGGGATGATGATGCCGATGCTGATGATGATGCTGATGATGATGCTGCTGCTGATGACGATGATGATGACGATGATGATGATGATGCTGATGCTGCTGATGATGATGAATACGATGATGATGGCCATGCTGATGATGATGACGAGCTGATGATGAAGACGGTGATGAGGATCATGATGCTTATTATGATGTGATGATGATGATGATGATGATGATGATGATGATGATGATGATGATGATGATGACGATGCTGATGATGGTGGTGATGATGATGGTGATGATGATGATGATGAGGATGAGGCAGATGCTGATGTTGCTGCTGATGACGATGATGATGTTGATGCTGATGATGATGACGATGCTGATGAGGCTAATGATGACACTGCTGCTGATGATTACGATGCTGATTCTGGTGATGATGCTGCTGACGATGATACTGATGATGATGGTGATGATGACGACGATGATGATGATGATGATGTTGATGACGATGATTCTGGTGATGAGAATGGTGATAGTGATGGTGATGAGGATCGTGATCGTGATGGTAATAGTTGCGATGATGTCGATGGTGATGGTGATGAGGGGGATGCTGATGATGACGTTGCTTTTGCTGATGCTAATGCTGAGGGAGGCTGAGGATGCTGCTGCTCCTGCTGCTGATGATGATTATGCTGTTGATGATGATGATGCTGATGATGATGATGATGATGATGCTGCTGCTGCTGATGATGATGATGATGATGATGATGCTGAGGCTGACGCTTATGCTGATGATGATGACGACGGCGACCATGATGATGCTGGTGGTGGTGATGATGACGGGGTTGAGGATGCTGATGATAAGTATGATGATGATGCTGATGCTGATGACGATGATGATGATGATGATGCTGCTGATGATGCTGATGCTGATCATGATGATCACGATGGTGATGGTGCTGATGATTCTGCTGATGACGACGATGCTGATTCTGATGCTAGTGCTGTTGCTGATGATGCTGATGATGATGAGGATGGGGATGATGATGATGCTGATGATGACAAGATGATGATGGCGACGATGATGATGGCGACGATGATGAGGATACTGATGAGGATGCTGAGACTGAGGATGAGACTGATGCTGGTGCTGCTGCTGCTGATGATGATGATGATGATGATGCTGACGATTATGATGATGATCATGATAATGATGATGCTGCTGCTGACGTTGATGCTGATGATGATGATGACGATGTTGATGATGGTGATAGTGATGGTTGTGATTCTGACGACGACGAAGATGATGATGCTGATGCTGATGCTGATGCTGATGCTGCTGATGATGATGCTGATGCTGAGGATGCTGATGATGCTGATGATGATGATGATGATGATGATGATGGCGATGATGATGATGATGATGATGATGATGATGATGATGATGATGATGGAGATGATGAGGAAGAGGATGATGACGACGATGATGATGATGCTGATGACGATGATGATGATGATGATGATGATGATGATGATGATGATGATGATGATGATGATGGTGATCAGGGGGATGACTATGCTGCTACTGAATAGGATGCTGATGATACTGCTGCTGCTGATGATGATGCTGATGCTTGTTATTATGATGATGGTGATGGTGATGCTGATGCTGCTGATGATGAGCATGATGATGACGATGGTGATGGTGATGGTGATGATAATCGTGATAGTGATTGTGATGGTGATTATGATGACGATGGTGATGGTGATGAGGGGCATCCTGACGACGATGCTGATGCTGATGCAGCTGCTGCTGATGCTGGTGCTGATGCTGTTGATGCTGATGATGCTGATAAGAATGATGATGAGGATGAGGATGATGGTGATGACGATGATAATGATATTGATGCTGATGATGCTGCTGAGGATGATGATCTTGATGATGCTGGTGATGAATGTAATGTTGATGATGACGATGAAGAGGACGATGGTGAGGATGGTCATGGTGATGGTGGTGAGGATGATGCTGCTGATGGATGGTGCTGATGCTGCTGATGATGCTGATGATGATGATGAATCAGAAGATGCATATGATGAATCTGAGCCTGATCGTCATTGCTCCAAGTACACTTGTTTTTGACTAGTATGGTCATGGTTGTGATGACGCTCACCATGAGCTGCCACGTTCCTGGCCCTGCGTGCCTACCAGCTCTTGTCCCGTCCTGCTCAGCCCTCAGTTGCTCGGCTTCCATCTCCTGGGCTCTGATACCCTCGCACCCTTCACACATATTCCCTTTATATCCTCGCTGCTCCCTCGTTGTCTTCGTCGTCCTCGCAGGAGTCCCCTGCCCAGGCCACGTTTTCGCCCGTGCGCCCCCCTCCTAGGATCCGTGAACGGCTCAAATTGCGCAAGGGCATACCTTGTTTGAGCACCAGAGCCCTCGACCCCATCTTCGCCTGGGGCATCCGCAAGGGCCCTGGGCCCCGAGATGGGGCGACGACGCCGGCCGTGCTTACCTCGCGACGCCCGGAGGTGAGGGTTCTCGCCTTTCCCCCTCGCGCTTCCTCTTCGGCCTCCTCCTCCTCCTCCTCCTCCTCCTCCTCCTCCTCCTCCTCCTCCTCCTCCTCCTCCTCCCCCTCCTCCTCCTCCTCCTCCTCCTCCTCCTCCTCCTCCTCCTCGTCCTAGCCGTTCTTCAGGGGCAACGTGAGGTGGGGATGGGGCCAGGGGGGAATGCATCGACCCTCAAATCGTTCCCTGATCGCCGATGGGGGCCCGAAAGCCCAGCCTGCCAGGACCGTTGTGGTTTCGCTTTC